TTTTTTTTTTTCCTCTAGAAATCCAACTGAAAGATGTTTATTTCCTGATCTGGACTCTAAGAATCAGGATGAGTACACTCAAATACATGACTCATTTCAAATCATTACACGCTTAACCATTATCACATGCCCTAATCCGCCACAGATGTCAGAGTTAAGGCACACTGCTAATTAAAAATGTTCTACTTACCTAAGTAATTTCAGACTGCATAGCCAACTCAAAATCATTATTTACAAAGTAGCTAGTTTTTAGCTAAGCCAAACCATAATAGTGAATCCACAAAATGTAATGTGCAGGATAAGTATGTTTAACATGATTTAGCCAACAATTGTTCAGAAGTTATAAACATTTTCTTATAGCTTATTAAAATGCTTTTGAAGAAGTAAAGAGACTGCAAATTTTAGGCTTTTAATAAGCATTAGGAGTTAAAAAATAAAATCAGTTTGTACCTTAATTTTCATTGCTGCTTAATGCACTTTCTTAAAAGTTTATTTCTTAATCAGGTTCAAATGGTTGATTGCCAAAACAGTAAAGGACATGGAAAGGGCAGTTGAGAAAAATAACATGAGAGGTTATGTCAGTCTTACTCCCTTGATACCACAGACAGAAAGGAGATTATTGCCTGAAATTTCCCCCTTCATGCAACTCCTAAAACCAAACCTCTCCAAAATCCCAACAAAGCAAAGGGTTCCTTTCCAAAAACTTAAAGGAATAATTCCAAGGAGCAAGCCAAACTAATACCAAGTTTGCCAATAGCAGAAAATCAGTTAAGATCACACTAATAAACTTGAGTTGAGATCATCTTCTAAAAACATGCAGAGGTTTTTTCTCACCTTGCTTTAGTCCATGTGTCACCCAATGACATCCACAACTGTCCTTCTTCACTAGTGACAGTAAATCTCAGGAAATCTATAGTATCCTTTGTTAGGAGAGGACTGAGTACTGTACTAGCAAGTTCTGGACCTCCTGTCGTCTGCACCACCTAAGTCCCAGTATTAAAATAAAAGAACATCCATATAAGTCACAAAATACATCTGAATATAGAGTACCTATAGTGTTGCTAGGAAATACTCATTACTAAAATGGGTAACTTCTGAGAAGTGTGTCCTGATGTCCAAAGGACAAACTAAAGCCAGTTCCTGCAGAAATGTTGTTCTAGTCAGTTACCATCTTATATTCAGATCCACTTTTGACAATGGTATTTACCTTACTCAACTCATGATAAAACACTTCAATGAACTAAACAAATGGCTATGCTTCCAATGCTCCTAGTGTATTATATAAAGTGATTATCATCATTTTTGTTAGCTAGAAATGATCATGACAAACCTCAGCACACCCAAAGCTAAGAATGATTTAAATATATATCTTTTCCTGCATGTTGAAAAGAGTTATCACACCTTACCATATGTAGTGGTGTAAAGAGAAAATGAACCAGTTCAGCAGCACTAGGATTCTGGATATGCAACTTCAGTTTGGCCTGAGGGAACAGGAAAATATATTGTAAGCTTTTGTAACAATAAATGCTTAACACAAGAGTGTTAAGCCAGGCCAGGTTAGACCATAAGTCTGTCAAAGCCCGATGGTGCGTCTCCAATACTAGCTAAGACCAAGCATGAAGGAAAGAGCGCAAGACTACAGAGCAAACACACACTGATCTTCCCCCAACTACTGTAATCCTTTAGTCGTTTGTAGCTCAGGGGCCACTTGAACTACTAGTAGTATTTTGTTTTAGTAGTCTTTAGTGGATTCTTGTGTTCCATTATTTCATCCAATTAATTTGATTCTACATAAATTTTGCATCTTGTTGTGCAAAGCAAGATGTTCCACAACTTAATTACTTTTTATAAAATAAATAAATAATAATATAAAAAAAGTATTTCCTTTGGAAAAGATTCAATTGAAAGACTGGCACCTTTTAGTTTCATAAGTACTTTCTAGTACTTGGGATAAAAGAAAATTGAGCAATCATACCCAACTAACTTTTACCAGTGTTCCTGATTAATTTACAGTTTTATTATATTCTCCTTTTTTTTGTAGATTTTCTCAAGTCTAGAGATTTTTGTAGTAGTCTTTTGTAGATTTTCTCAAAAGTCTATTCAGTCATTCCTTGCAGCAGTACTTTCTTCAGTTTTGCTATATTCCCATATGAAGAAAAATGGGAAAAATTTCTCCCAAATACAGAAAAATGAAACCAGCATACATAATGGCACAGTAATGTTCTTTATTTTCTCTTTTCTTTCCTAATGGTTTTTAATGTTTGTCTGGGTCATAACTACAGGCCTATATTACAATATCAAAATTTTATTCCTGTCTAGCAGAAGTCAGTTTGAAATCTCCTGTTTAAAATGTAACATTAGATCCACATTCCAACCAGTACATTGCATTATATCCATCAATACTGAATTTCACCTGTCACTGTAAAGTGCTTGCTATCATGGACTATTTCTACATTTCTCAGACTTCCAGAGTAGTGTGGAAATTCTATCCCGTGGCATTTATTTTCTTTTAATAGACCAGTTACCAAGATACAAACTTTGGAGGTAATGGTCCACAGTCCCTTAGATCTCCCTAAAACTGTTTAAAGATTATGAGCATTTCCTTAACTCCTTCTCTTCCTTTGGGGTCAAGGCAGTTTTGTGAGGTCACACACCCCAGCGCATACTTCTGTGATATCATCCCTAAGTTTTTGGAAGAAATGGATGAAATTCCCAAGGCTTCTGTTGATCTGTTTCTTGTCATTTTGATTAGTTCTCTAACTCCCTATTATTTGAAACAGGTATTCTTTACTGCCACCATTTTTAAAGGGAACATACCACCCACTGCCAAGCTCTTCCAAGAAAATAAACACACAGAAAAAAAAAATATATAACTTTTCTACTACTGCTTCTCTGAGGTTTCCCTTTAGCCAGCGATCACCCACTAGCCCAACAGATTCCAGAAGTATGAAGCACTCCTGGATATGTTTTACAAATGTGTTCATTGGATTATACAGACTGTTCATCATACTCTGTAGTAAAGAAAGATGTACATACATACTTTCTATGTACATCATACTTTCTGCCTTAGTCAGTTATTGCATTTAGCTTTCCAGACTTCAAACGTCTTCACGTCTTCAAACGAAGAAATAGACAGGATGTGTTATTACTTCTAATAGCAACTTGCCCATTGTACTTCAGTCATACCAACTTCTTGATCTTTCTAAAGTTTTAGTTATTTATTTATTGGATAGATAGAAGGTATTTTTCCATGAGTTTCCAGCATGGTGTTTTTAAATAGTTTCTATTCAACTGGCAAGGATCTTATTCTTTTAGCTACCTCTTATTTTTAAGCTAGATTCTTCATTTTATTTAGTTCTGCTTAAATAAATATTATACACACACACACACACACACACACAAAAAAAAAAAAGCACCAGAAAGTAAAATTTCAAGATTTTATGTCTCTTGCAGTGATGCTGAGGCAAAACATTTATAGTGCACCTTTTTTGAGAACTCTAGAAACAGGTCCCAAATACTATTCAGCACCTCATCAAAACAAGAAATACTCCTTTTCTTTACTGCCTACAAAATAGATGATAACAGCATATTTAAAGCCAAGGAGCGTGGGTGAGGAAACAAATGAAAAAAAAGGAAATAGGAAGAAAAAACCCACACACTTCAGCTTGATATTTGATGAATAAATGTCAACTTTCCTATTACCGTTTGCCTCTGGTATTAAAACTTATTTGGTCTCTGTAAACATTTAGTACAATATGCTTACTTAAACACTGCACAGGAAATAAAGACTCAAAGGTGCACAGGTTAGTCTTAGGTGCAAAATTAAATTAAAGGCAGAATTCAGGAAGAAGAAACATTGAAGACATTTAAGATCAGAAGTATTATTACTGAGGTAACAGAGTTTGTTGCTGGTGTAGTTCCCACTTCAACTGGAAGGGCCAGTCTGCGCACAGCAATAAGTGCACAGAAAACATCCTCCTGCTCATAGAGGGCACACAATAAAGCAGCAATGCAGACAGAGCCCTCTGAGGCCAGAAAGGTCTGATTAAAAACAGCAACAAGCACCCAAGACCTAATGGGCGTAGCTGAATGTGACTAATTTAAGGCCATAACTGATGAGGCTGCCACACATGCAAGACATCTTGCATGCCTGCAGTCCCAACACATTTTTATAGAAATCTTTTTTAGATTTTAAACTTAGATTTTGCAAGTAAAAGTATTTTACAGAACAAGGATACTCAAAGAGAGAGAAATATGCTCCCCGAGTCACCAACACCGGGCACAGTCTTTGAGGAGCAGCCCCACCTGAAGGCTACCCTAGGCCAGTGCTGCTCTTGGTTCAGATCCAAACGGAGAGGGAAAAGGGAAGGGCGGAGACCAGCGTCAGCTCAGCTGCCTTCCTATGCATTGGTGAAGGACAAGTGAGATTACATGCCCAAGTCTGTGCACATTATTAAGAGGATATCTGCATGTCTGCTTCTTTTTAGAAGAAGAGCAGAGACAAAGAAAACACGTGCCCTGGCCCTCAGTTCCTCAAAGGACATGAACATCTCTGTGTTGGTATCATTATGCCCACTCAACACAGACAAGACACCAAAAAAGTTAGGCAAAACATTTCATTTGATAACTGTATTCCCAAAGACCAGATGAACTTCTGAAGTTCCCTCAGAAGAGACAAAAATAAGACATCCGCATTACCTGGAGTATCAGGAATCCCCAAAGAAACCCAACTTAAAAATAAATAAAAAGCAATTCAGTTGCATTATTTTCTTCTCCTTCCTCCTGTTTATCATTTAAGTAATAGATAAAGAGGAGGAAGAAGAGAACTGCACATCATTATAGAACCTTTCATACAAGTGGAATAGTGAGGGCCCTAATACATAGGAAAACTAAGGCAGCAAAACTGACGCACAAATTCATTTATAGCACCAGGAAACATAAATATTGTCTTATACCTAACATCATCTCTCTCAGGAAAATTTATTGTAGCATACCTCAAAAGCGTATAGGCTAGCAGTTGCTTACCACAAGATTGAAGCCATGCTTGAATTTTTGGAAGCAGTCAACAAACTCATCTGTAGGTGGTGGCTTTGCACGGAGAGTAAGAACTCCCTCTGGTGAACAAAATCAGAAAAATATGTAAAATTTAACTTCTATAAATATTGAAGACCTATTAACTATGAGTATATTTATATTTTAGTTTTATATTTATTTCACTAAATATATAAAAAATCCATATTGTAAAATAAAAATAAATATTTAAGTATTTTGTATTTCTATTATTGTAGCTACTATAGTAGCTATTATTGTAGTTAATATACTTACTGACTTGCAGAATTTTGTAAATACACAGTCATTACACTGAGTAATATTCCTGAGTCATATCTCACAACCATCTCTCTCCTACTGATTTCAGACATTTCCATCAAATCCTCTCTAAGAATACACACTCTAGGATATTTTTTCCCCTCAAAGTCGCACAAAGTCAACATTGACACACACAAGTCAACATTTACTAGATACTGCATTTTTCTTAAAGAAAAAAAAATCTACTGAAAAATCTATGCTGTAAGAACTCCTACCTCCAGGTCCTTTCTTTTTACTTTTCTTAGTTTTCTTCCTCTTTGAAAGTTCTGCAAATGCCTCAGCAGCTTTTTGAAGTTTGGTAACAAAATACTCAATGTCATCCAAAATATGGTTCAGAATTTGCTATGAGAGAGAAGCAGCAGTTTCTTTATTGAAAGTGTAGTAGAAATGAAAACTCTAGGAATGAAAACAACTCTCACATACCAGCAGCTTCTGTACAAAGTTAGGGCTAGAATATTGCATATATAGATTCATTATGTTTTTAACTTCACACACCTGTAACATTTTAAAGCTTAGATTTTTCAAAATTCAGGACAAGTCTAGGTTTTTGAAAGCACTGATATTACTAAATTCAGATATCCATTACATTCGTTCACATACTGCACTCATTCTCTACCTATTACATTCATTTTGCACACACCACAACATTCATTCTCTGAAAGCACACATACACACAAATCCTTTCTAGTAATATTACGTGCGTAGGACAGCATTCTCCTAAATGGTACAACTTGATGATTTCTTTTGGAACAAAGTATTAAACCATTTGTGATTTGAGGGAGAAGTGTTCTTTGAAGAGTGGTTTTCAAAGCACAAGTGGACAAGAAAAGCACCCTGAGGGGTGCACCACTTCAGCAGGTTCCAGCATGCTTCCTTAAGACCCTTTGATGTTGCTGATGGCAACATCGGAGTAAAAGGTAGAAGGTTACAAGTGATGATCAGGGCAGTATTTGATAGTACATATATCACGGAACCAACTCAATATTGTTGCTCACAGGTCACAGAGGGTCATGTGATGCATATACATATCCATGGTCTTTGGAAATCACCATATGTTTATGTTCCAGATGTGACACATATCAGACTCTAACTTGATAAAATTTCAGTTCATACATTCTTAAAGAATTTGGTCTTCACAAAACTACCAAAAAGTACAGCTCTTCACAACAATAAACAAAACTAATATCAATACTTTGTACTTATCTTAAAAAAGAAAAATAAATAAATCACACACCATATTCACTTCCTATTCACCATTCCTATTCACCATTCACACTTCCTATTCATTTTTAGGTCTACCACACCAAATAGTCTGCCTGGAAAGTTTTGCCCCAGAACTGAATTTCACATGTGGAAAAAGTCTTCTATTAGATAAAAGCCAATGTTTTGCAGGCATTAAGCAATATCACTTGTAGTTGCTCACTTACAACATCTCTGTCAATCCTAGCTGCTATCATTTCTGTTGTTTCTTCATGGTCGTGGTACTGTCTTTGTTTTTCAACTATAGGAAAAAGTGAAGATGAGAAAAATACATCAATATCCGAAAAAAAATAGAAATCATGACATTCTATACCACTTATGCTTGAAAGCATAATTCCATGCCATGGATTAAACTCTTAGCGCTATTGCCCTTGCAAGGGTTTTAGGGAACCTAAACTACTTGCACAGTAATGCCTGATCCTCCCAAGCCTCATGAATATGCTTAGTTATATGTACAACCCAACTTAGCTGCATCAGTGAAGCTAACCACATGCATAATTGTGGTACCAGGATCTGTATCAAAAGAGTATAGCAGAAAGCAGCTGATTCTAAACCCAAAATAAGGAAAAGTTATCCCACTTTGCAAAACATAACAAGCCAAAGCAGGCAAGACAGAAGCACATAGCTTTGACTTCAAAGGGTATAAAAGGGGGACAGTTTATAACTAAAGGCTAATAAGCAAAAACAGATGTAGGAATTTGGGCAGAATGACCAGTGCTGGCACACTGTTAACAGGAGCTTTTTATAAATCTACTGTGGAAGAGATTCACATGAGTAAAATAAGAACTACCGCAGTAACTCAGGTCGCCAACAGACTACAGGTAAATTATTATTAAGTGAGCAGAAATCAAACAAAAGAAGAAACAAGTCTTTACTCAAAGTAGGTGTAAAGCTGTAGGTTAGCAGATGAAAACTTTCTGAGCATTGCTGGTTTCTCTGAATATTTTTATGTTTTTTCTCTGCACAGTTGTATCCTTCAAGCCATGTTATGGCTTCATACAACATTAACAAAGAAAATTTCCTGGGTAGTAACGTCTAATTCTAAAATTTCAGCATGTTATATAAAAAGAAAAATGGCCTGACCTGAACCAAAATTGTTCCTTTTATACAGTCTGTTATACTGAAAGAAGCTTTCTGGTTTCTAACAAATAATTATTTAAAAAGAAAAAAAAAAAAGTAGTTTCCATTGCAGATTAAGAAAGAAAAAAAAAATAGTGCCACATTCCTTGGTTGCGTCTTTAAAAAGCAGTGAGCTAGTTTAGTCATACAGACCACTAAGAAGACAAATAAAGAAACTGTGTTGATCTCTAGTCAGGTTTTAATTCAGGTGATTATATTTTCAATTGTCTGAAAAACCTGGCCTGCATTTGTTTATTTACAAAATGCAGCATCATCAAATTCCTGCAGTTATGCTCGGTACAGAATACTACGCAAATTAGCACATTCGTGGAAAAGCCCCAGAGGAAAACCATCCACCTGAGCACAACTAAATGAAGCTCTGAGAAGAAACTGAGAAAACCAATAGCACGAGTAAATGACAAAACAGATTTTGACAGTGAGGTCTTACAGATCCGTCTCTCTGAGGCAACAGGAGCCTGGGGTGTTTAAGCCCAGACTGGGAGGAATAATCCTCTGCTCAACAAGGACAGAGGTGCAACAGAGTAAAACCATTTCTGTAGGGGGATTCAGATACTGTCACCTTTTTCAAATATTAGCTGAAATATATTCCAAAATATTCCAAAATATGTAGGTGAGCGCACGGCAGGAGCGCCGGCCCTCAGGAACACTCACACTCGCCCTGCTCAGAGGCCCACGCGGACCACGCAGCCACGCGGCTTCGCACGTCCACCTGCGTGACGGTCCCCGGCGGGACGGGCGCCGGCGCCCGCGGCGGCGGCGGGATGGCGCTGTCAGCTTTGGATATCATCCTGAGGGGAGAGGAAAGCCCAGAAGTGACGCTCGAAGGAAAAAAACACTCAATTTTCTGGCATTTAATTGGAGAAGACAAGGAGGCTTTGTGAGGAGCTTTTCTATAACCCATGTAATTGAGCATCCTATGGACTCTCACAGTCAGCAATTCCAGAGGCTGTGCTATGTAAATATACCTGACCCACTTCAAGGAGGGAATAGCAAAATATGCATCACCAAAGCCTCCATCACATGGCCAAGTGGGAATCCCCAAGTAGTGCAACACAGTGTCTGGAGAATGGGTAGACAGCTAAATTCAGCAACGCAGATTTGGTAGATGTCATTTTTATCACCACGTGCAGTTTAATGGCTCGATTTCCCTGCTGTCTGCATTAGAAGTTAATCATTTTGTGATGGCTGAATGTTACCTATTTCCTAAGTCTGACAAGTTGTCAGCCCATTTTTTCTTAGAACTCAGCCAACTCAAATTACTAAATTTACAGGCTGATTTTTCCTTTTAAATCAACAGTCTGTTCATCCCATTTTCATGCAAATGTATGACTCTTCCCACCTGCTCTTTTCAGTTTTTTTTTTTTTTTCCCCCTTACCTAGTTTTAAAGACCATAATCAGCTTGGTATCAACAGAAGTGGAGAAAAACCCCATCAACTCCCAACCTCCACTCACCCACCTACCCCTTCCCCACCTTAAATTCTTCTCTTTATAATTCCATTTTATTCATGGCATTCATAAAAAGCAACAAGTGCCCAAGATCTTGTTTGGTGTCCAAAGACAAAACAGTAGCTCCTTCAATTCCTTCTTCCACTCTCCTGGGCAGTCTGCCCCACATTTCCCACGCTTCCCACATTTCCACATTCCACAATTCAATAACCTTGCAACAATAACTTGGTAATGCAATGTCAGGCTCACTGCCACATCTCCAAACCACTCATGCAGGACTCATCCAGAAGGGAATCTCCCCCTATGACCTGATGCCCACACACACACACACAATACTACAGTGAATAACCAGTGCTATGAGGTCATGTACTATTGAGCGCTTGGCCTCAGAGCCCTGTGGGATGGGTAGCTCAGATTAGTTTTCCCCAGATGTACCGGCCTACATTCTTCCCCTAATTAAACCTCATTAATTTCCTTGCATATCCAATGCATTTGAGTTCTTCTGGATTACAGCATATCTATCTAATTTTACCTATTATTTACCTATAAGTTTAAACTTAAGTATGCTTGTGTTTTTTTAATAGGAGTGTTTATTACTATAAGAAAGCTCAGTAAGCTGCATAATGGAATTTTCTGTGTTACACAAGTAACTAGAAACATTTTTAAAACAACAACGCTTTTACTTAATGATTTTGGTGCAGCACAGGAATTTTGTGCAGCACAGGATTTTCCACACAGACCACGAAAATATGCATTATGGAGAGAGACTTGAGATAGTTGCTTACCAACCTCTCAACAAACTTCCATTAACATTCATTGCCTAAAATATTTGTGTCCTTGTTTCTATGTGTCTCATATTTAAATATATATATAATTGCAAGAGCTTCATTTAAATTATGAACTATTAGCCTATATGCAGAACCAAGGCATAGAACACTATGGCAACTGGTTGTCAGCTGTTCCAATCACCAAGAAGAAATTAGAAGAGTTAAGAATGGTAATTATAAACTGAGAAAGCATAAGATAATGTAGTCAAGGGTGATCTACCGACTTTTGGAAATATGTAACCAATTAGCCAAAAAGAGCAAAAGAATAGTAGATAGACTTGGAAAGCTTCTGGCCATCCTAACAATATTCAGTGATCTTACAGACTGCAAGCTGGTAAGCTATTTACCTCAGGGTTTCAAGCCTTTTCTTCTGTTTTCCACTTTTGCTGTCACTGATTGCACTTTCAATATCTTCATGGATAAAGCTAGCCTGAAGAGACAGATGCAGATACTGTCACCCATTAGCTTGGCTAACCAGATAAAGGAAATAAATACCTTTTCAGACATTTTTTTTCTGGAATCTCTTATTAATCCCACATACCCAAACCTCCAGGATACATGAATCTACACCAAACAGAACACAGAAACACACAATGCTGTTGTCTGAAAGCTTGTAATTTTGTTACTGTTCCAATATAAACGTCATCCTAAAATGAGTGTGTTATTTAAACAACAAATTTGTCCACAGAGCTGTAATTATCTCAAGTCAAAAATTACTGCATAAGCTGGTGTCTCCATTTATATATACCATTTTTGTTTAGTGTGTCTGTGAAAGCCATAACTGAAACTGCTACAGACAGCAGAAGTATTAGGGATAATGAAAATAAACGATACTTCCTTTTACTACGAGTTAAGAAATAAAAATGCACGTTAACTTCTCTTTTATTTTGTGGAAGATTAATTTTTCAGAGAGATTCCTGTTCTGTAGGTTCCTGCTTCTCAGTAATTGCAGTCCATCTCCACCAGTGATGCACAAGAAAAATTCAAATCCATCTCTAGCTCAGCATTTTAATAGAGGTTTCATAAAATAGGTCACGTCTTCTCGTGGGACTGAGAATACTCTGTTACATGTTCAGCTGTCAGAGTAATTTCCTGCACATACTGTCAAAGCCCAAATCTGTCAGTGTCCAGGCTCATTCTACAAAGCCCACCTCTCTCCAGGTTTCCTCATGGTGGAGGAGGAATATGTAACTTCCTCGGAGGAATACACAACTTCTGATGTAATCAGAAGGCCTTCTTTATTTCTGGATCTAAAGGGATTAAGGAGCTTTTCAGGCATTAATATAATGCATTATACGCCAGAATACAGACCGGGAATATACTAGGTTTATAGAATTAATGAATAGATAGAACTTCAGAGTATTTTGAGGAACTTAAAAACAGAACATTAGGAATCATGCTCTTAGTATTTATTGTTTAACAAGTTTTAATTAGAAAATATTTTGTTTTCAAAAATATTGATTTTGACTGAGCTTTTGTAGCAAAGGCTCCTGAGGTTCAATATAATTTCTGATCAGAAGCTGAAAAAAAACTTATGGAAGAAAGACATCCAAGTCCAACAAGTATTTAACAAAACCTAAGGTATGGTCACAGGCATAAACAATGTCCCCGAAGAAAACGGGGATCCTGGACTTCAAGCTAGAGAGTTATGCTTATATGCTCCATATTCTTAATTGTATGAAGAAGAATAGCTTCAAAAGAGGAAAGCCTGAAGAAGGCAAATCACCTTGTGAGACTGCTTCCAGTCCAGTTCCAATACGCCTTTATCAGGATCCCTGCATTATTCAATATTTTGCAACTTGAACTCCCCCAGATTCCAATTTCTATTGCAATTTTTTCTATTGAAAAAACTCAGTGCAACTGGTCTCACAGATAATTAGTCATCCTCACATTACTATCTATCGCTGAGCCAATTTCAAAACAGTTGCACATCACGGATGATTTGATCAAAAGTCCCATAAATTTTTTAATGGAATTTCAAGAACTGTTGCTATGCCAGAAAGAGAGAAGTACTGCAAAACACATTCAGAAATTGTGTTTGCTCAAGAAACTTGAAGGAAACATTTTACTGGAGACAAATAATCCCCTTCCTTGTCTTGCCCTTTACAGACAATATTTTCCTTTTAATTTTCTCTCCTGCAGCTCAGGAATACAGTGAGGTGAGCCAGCAGAGGAAGTTTAATTGCTCAGTTACAAAGAGCAGGTATAGGAATAATTAGATGAGAGATCAGGACTCAGGTGAATGTTTTCCAGGCTCTAAAATAAATTTCAGATAATTCAAACTATTTTAAAAGGTTTTTTTTTCATAATTGTGAGTGCATATCATGCAAATAATTTCAAGCTTTAAACAGCTGAAAATCTAAATGAAATGAAATAAAAAAGTACACACGCAAAGAATTCAGCTTAGTTAGATGCCTCCTATCTTATAAGCCATAACACCCCAATTACTAATGCGTTATCATAAATACACTAAACAAATCATATTTGTCAGCACAAAAGAATTATCTTCTGTGAATCGGTTTATTTGATTTTATCCATTGTACATGCCAATTCATAAAACTTCCCTCACTGAAGTAAGTCACAGCAGCTCTCCATTACCATCTTACCTTAATCTCATCACACTGGAAAAGATGCAAATCAGGCTTGTTTTGGGTTGGTTCTTTACATACCAATGCAAGAATGGAATTGTAATTGCATGCATTCATCACAGCCTGGCAATGCTGAATTGTGCTTAAAGGAAAATTCTCCAATTCATTCTGCCGGAAAAAAAAAGGAAGGGAAAAAAAAAAGAAAATAAAAAGCTTAATATTCTGGATCTTAAACTGCATCAAATAAAATCAGGAAAGCATAATAAGCTAATTAAAATACCAAATTTCACCTACATTATTTTTCAGTTCCCTTTCACTCTCTCTCTGAAGGTGGGACTGTCACTCACGGATCTTACCTTTGATTCCAAGTCCACTAAGCTGACAGCTTTGTCATCCACTTGAAGAATCATATCTTGAGTCCACACTTTGCCTTTAGCATCCAGCAATTTCAGCTTCCTTATTCCATCATCTACTGTAATCATTGCCTCTTTTCGGTCCAAAACAAAGGTGGTCAAGTGCTAGTGAATGAGGGGCACAAAAACAAACAAACAAAACGCATAATTTTCCCTATCAGTAGGCAGCATCAGCATTTAAATTACTGTGAAATAGCAATACAAATAATTCATGAATAAGAACGCCTTTGTATATGACAGATATGTATACGACAGATCCTATCTGCCCCTATCTGACTCTATCAGTAAGCCTTGGGGGAGGTTGTTTAGTTCATAATGTCATTTCAAGTCAACTGAGTTTCGTAACTCACTGTTTGTCATCCTCTCATTTTCTCTCTGGTTTCCAGGCATATCCTGTCATGTTTCAGGTATCACAAGCAGAATTAAATCTTAAGTAGTAATTAGCTTTCTCAAGGAGTGAAAATCTGTCTCCTATGGAAAGCTGAAAGCAGGAAGCAGCAGGAGAAGCTTCCAAGCTGCACCCTGCCAATGGTCCCCCACCTCCTCCTGACCTGGAACACAGCCATCCCTGTAGAGCTGCCAGCCGGCACGCCGAGGGCAACCACGATGGGTTTGCATCTGACTGGGATACCTTATGGACAGGCCAGGTACTTGTTTCACACAGACCACAACAGCAATGTCGTTTACTATCTACTTTTGCTCACCATCAACTTGGAATGGTCTCCAGAAGCAACAGTCTAGAAGTTAAACACCTTCTCACAGGCATCACCTCAACTTGTCTCCCTGCTATGGTGATTTTGATAATTTCTCCCTCAAGCATGTCAAATATGCATGACAAGCTATTTTAATTTTATCCAGGAAAAATAAAGCCAAACTTCACATTTTTATTTAATATCTAGAGAAATTTTTCCAAGGAAAAAAAAAAAGTCAATGCCTGTGCACTTATCTTCTAAACAACCTGAAATAAAAGTATTGAGTGTGCTTTCTAATATATTAGAAGATTAGTAGCACACTTCCATAATGAATGACAAGAGAGCACATATAACCTGCACATGATCAAAGTATTCAAAGTAGTAACATAAGGAGCTGAAATTAAAACTCTTCCACACATGATTTAACAATTTACATTTAAAACTCCACAAAAAGGACCTATGACATTTTCAAAAGTCAGCTTAACCCACAACGGTTTGACAGCAGCAGCAGAAAGTCTATCTCCAAGTAAGAATACCTCAGCATTGCATCCAGAAGTGCTTAACTACCTACAGGCACTCAGGCTTACTTTGCTGGATAGTTTAAATATATCCAAAAACTCCAGACAGAATGTGACAGCAATACACAGAAATTCTGCAAAGCAGATTAAGAGAGGAAGTCATATATTTTTCATTCCACATGCCTCTGTGGAGGCAGGATGCATTTCACTGCTACCTTGTAGACTCTAACAGGGGTTTTAGAGGGTTCACAGTCAGCTCTTGCTAAGCACTCCGGCACCTCTGATGATTATGGTGGGCAAAGTATTTTAAATCTCGTCCAGTGTGCCTCATCAACAGCAGAGAGCTTCTCAGCTCTGCCTCAGCCTCAGAGCAAGGCTGCTTCAAAGACAGAGCTGCTTAACACACTGAACTGTGATCCCACTGAGAAGTTCTGTCCGTTTGCCAAACAATGCATATCTCTGCTTATTTTCTCCTACAGCTCATTTCAGTTCATTATGGCATAGCTACACAATTTGATGCATCTCAGTGTAATGTGTTCTGAAGGGGCCTCAGGCTAGCAGGGTATTTTGGAAGCTCTATATGCCTTCAAGCCTATGTAGCCTCAAAGATCAAGTAGGCAAAAATCAGCGCATGTAATTGAGAGGTCTAATTGGTATTTTGCTGGTGCTCTTACCTCCACATGATAGTGTGATGTTTCAGACACGCTGCTGGCACTGTCCCGGGCATAGTTCTTTCTTTGTTCTGAAGAGGAGGTGAGGAAAGAAAGAACGATTATTCATCAAGCTTTTTATCACGTTGCAATTTGGGTACTTCTCCAAGACGCTTAAGACCAGTTGTACATACATGAAAGCAGAAGATGAGTTGCCGTTAACTTTTGCAATCCAAAAGAGAAACCTTCATCCTCAACACAGTCCAGCACAAGGATAATACATCAACAACATCAGGAGAGACACACAACAGCTCCCATCTCTTCAGTGAGTCAGGATGGAGGAGGTGAGCAATATACCCATTGAAAACACTGCATTGTAAAGCCAGATTATTAAAACCTTCAGCTTTCCACTTTGGTAGGTGGATGAAAACTAGTATCAGGCTTATTGTGCTCGTATGAATGCACTTTAAAATCAAAAGTATTCACATTTATACATATAATTCTCCTGTTCCACACTGAAAATAACAAAACGACATATAAAGCAGATGCATAAGACCAATGCATCTTTTATTTCATCCTAAAGCATTCAATTTAATGAATTGCTGTTATATAAGTATCAGAAAAGAGTGAAGGGGAAAGAAAGCAAAAGCTACAATAGAAAAATACATGCTCAATATCCCTAAACAGAAATACGTTCCAATTCAACAATGCTGCAAAATCAGAAACATCATTTACTTTTTCCTTTATGCGACAGATTAATATCAAACCAGGAGGAGGAAGAAAGCAAAATGCAATCTGAGAACACAAAATTCCCATACCATAAAATAATGATTTTAAATGAATACTGAAATAAAATTTGCAGCTTCAATCGATAGATAATTACATGACACATTTGGAGATCTCACTTCCCGTAATCCCTGAAGTACCCAATTTGCAAACACCAGGAAATGTACCTTAGCAAAGCAGCAGCTAGAAGATGTGGCTGAGAAGAATCAAAGGGAATTTTGCACTAGGTAAATTTTCTCATTTTCATGAAATATCTTCATTTCTGATTTTCAAATAAAAGAGGCTTCTTGATCTTATTTGGTAGAAAGTTATCTGATATATATACAACATACATTAGTGTCATCACATCCAGCTGGACTGCTTGGAATAAAGCCATTTTTTTTTTTCCAGGATTAAATACTACCAAACACAGGTTCTGCTGTCTACAGGGATCTCCAGTGAGAACACTGAAATTCAGCACAAGGGTCCACTCATCAAAAAGACAAACCAGAAGGTATTTTGTAATCAGAATTCCTTTATACAGGAATAATTTAGGTGTAGCAGCACCTCAATGCTTCACAAGCCCAGACTCCTGGCAAAGAAAGGGAGGCCCTCACTTAGAAATGTCACTTGCAGAGGTATTAGACACCTTTTAGAATCACAATTTGCATTTCTTTACTTCTCAATATACTTAATAACTAGCCCTCATAATATAACTTTAGCTTCGTAACTTAAGAAAATACAGCTCCTGAAATCCCTTCATTGCTTGAAGTCCACCATCAAGATGACAAGCATGGCACACAGGAGAGAGCCATTCTGCTGCTTTGCAGCAGCTACTCAGCTTGCTTTAGCAAGGTATGTCTTTAGTACCCTCAGCCAATACCAAAACATTTTCAACACAAACATATTAAAATAGATGTCAATTTTATTATCCATTATTTAGAAATCCCAAGGCAGAGGGTCCATACATTAATTCCAGATGTAACTAATATTTCTGCTTTTGCAGCATATTACTTATGATGGTTTAATTTTTTTTTTTAAATGCAATACACACATACACACGTGTGCACACACACACATGCACAACCCCAAAGCAGCAGTCAATGAAGCAGTATTTGGCTTGCTACCTTTCTTTTTTTGTTTGGATGATGATCTGAAGAAGTAAGCTCCATCTGTTCCTAACAAAACAAGGGAATTAAAAAGCAACATCTAGTTTAACCAAATATGACTATTTGCATCTCCAGAGGGATCAATTAATGGATTTCTGATATGGAGTGTAAATAACTAAATGCTGACTATCAAGAAAGAAAACATGTTTAAAGAAAAAAAATCCCATTAATTGAATGGATGACATGTTGAGTTTGGCTAAGGACCTTCCTCTTTCTCTTGTTTTTGAGTGAAAAACAGTAGAGTTTTTATGACATCGAAGTAAATTAGAATAAATTTACATCCCTTGTAAGGCTTATAAATCCTCCAAAATAATAGTATTTGAAGCTGTTTTTAATAAAACAATACTGGCATATTCAGAGGCTACCAAAGAATTTAAAATTCAGAGGCTACCAAAGAATTTAAAATTTAAATTTTAATTCAAATTAAAAAGCAGAGTAACTTTTGCAAGAGTTTCCATGCTCACAGTCACAGAAATTCTGTCCCAGGTTAGGATAGGATCTCCAAACACAGCATTCACAGTAGACAAAATGATGTTTTTAAACAGACTGTCTTAGAGAGAATGACAGTATTTATATAAGAAACAGAGCTTTATGAACAACAGTAAAAATTGTGGTTGCCTAGACTTGGCAGTCAACGCAACTTAATTAACAGCAGAAAGTAACAAGCTTCATAAAAGCTAATAATGAGCAAAAAATACGTAAGCATCCATGTTCATTAGCAAAAAAGTATGATCACCACTCTAACAGCTGATGCTAACTTTCATGGAAAAATCTATTCACCTATTTTTTTGGACATGCTTATGCACATTGAGTATTTATTAAAACATGCAAGAAATCCGAGTTACAGGATCTTCTACTAAAAAGACCTTGTAATATGTCATTTAGAACCTGGAAAGTCCTATTTTCTGGAGTCCATAGAAGCGATGCAATCTAAATTGAAAGTATGGAAGCTAAAACTGGGAGGAGCTCAAAAGTCTGTGTCAGCACTATATATACCATTAGGAATTCTATCAGGAAATGCAGATTAGAGTTTGGAGATTTTACATGGATTTACAGAGTATTGGTTCTGGTTATTTACAAAACAGACACTGTTTGTGTCAAAAGTTTCCATCCTTAGGGAAAAGAATATTTTGCAAACATCTCTATCACACTGTTTTCAGGGGTCAAATGCATCCCCAGTGTAGATAAGTATGGCAATGGGGAAAACAAAGAAAAAGAGGAAAAAATATGGTCCTGTTGGTAACAGGTAAGCAAGGAGTGCAGACCTCACACACTTAATTTTACTGCTCAGTGCTACAACTTTTATGTGCTTTTGGAGGTGAGCCAGAAGGTCCCTACAGCAGCTGTGAATGTTGCTAACACTGCCATAAAGGAGGGGAAGGCAGATACCATTGGTAACCTCTCTCAAAATTTCTCACCCTTCAAAAATACTTCATTTAGTATATATATACACAAGGATCACGTCTGAAGATAAGTTCTGAATCACAGTCTACAGCAAATATAACCCAGAGAAATTTATGCAGAATGAAATAAACTCACAAGGCATGAGATTAAGGTTTAGAATGGCACAGTGTTTCACTCATTGATCCTGACCATAGGATATAGTAGCTACTGAACTTTGCACATGTGCACAAACATTGATGCACAGAAATTACTACTCTTGCCTCGTTTTAGTGTGAACTGATACTACTCCTATGCACATGTTGGCAAAATTATTTGCCTTAACAGTTCTTGGGAATGTACAACATTTGTGATGGCAAAAGTGTGAAGTGGTACTGATTTTATATCAATTTCAGAAGCAGCCAACCATCAGAGAAAACTGAAAACTCTGTCATAGCCTGAGCTGTGCCTCTGCCCACTAGGAAGACGATAGAGAAGAGTTAGCAATAGCAAAAGATCTCAGAAGAGGTCTTCACAGATGACCTGAAGCACAGGTGATTCTGGATAAGGCTATGCTACCTTTAAACATAAAGGAGCTTTCAGTTCCAAGAGCTTAAAACAGAAATGAAAAAGCCCAGTGCCTGGACTTCCTCGAAGTCTTAGAAGTAATAAATGTTTCTGCAGTCTGCTTAGAATAGCAAAAAGGATAATGGTAGATCCCACCTCTTCAGTAAACTGGAATCTCTCTGTTTATTGACAAAAAGACTGAAAACCTAAAACCTGATGACAGCCTATATAGAAATGGATTAAAAGGGTCACTTACAAGTGGTTTTAAGAGTCCTAGGAATAATGGCATAAATTATAACCATACATCACTAAGCAGAAAAGCAAAATACATTGTGTACTACTGGATACTAATGGTTTGTACAGGAGTGATGACTGATACTCCTTTAGCAATGTACTACAACAGGTAGAGAAGCTGAACCTGAGATGGAGAGCAAAATGCAGGAGATGCATTACCAGCACATACAGGGAGAAAGGTCAAAATTTCATTTAAAAGCAAATCCCACTGTCAGAGGAGTATACACTATCAGTTACAGAGCATCTTGCTGTCAATCTTTTCCCTGATGCGGAATTAGCTAGCAGAGAAGGTATGATTTTTAGAAGTCTATTGCCAATTTAATTCATTTACATATCAAATACATGAACATTAAATGGATAACTTCTTTTAATGAACTCATTTATCTGGTCTATGATCAGTTTGTGACTTCTTGGAATTTAGCAATTACACTACCATTCTTGCTCTGAGGTATTCAAGCAACACAAAAGGGCACGTGCAATCTCACTGTTAGCACCTCATCACAACCAAGAGAATTTAAAAAACACAGTTCATAAAACACTTGCTTTTCCCTGATGCAGTCTGGGGACAACTTTAGTAACACCTTTCAATTCCATGCCAAATAATAATCCAAAAATTCAGTTTGCTATGCGAAGAGATTTGAGCTGCTCCAGCCCATGTTGCTCCTTGGCAAAGGTCCAGTGCTGCCCCGGTCCCTGTGCCAGCTGGTGCCACGTGTGTCCCCAGACGTGGTGCTACAGAAGACAGATGGAGAAGCTAGCGCTAGAACAACAGGTGAGGGCATGAGCCAAAACTCATTTCAGACACAAAGATCAGGAATTAAACAGTGAGAAAAAACGCATGAGAATATGGACAGGGCACCTCTCTGAGTTCAGAGAGATTTATCATGCAATAAACATTTAATTTTAGGCAGAAAAGAAGCAAAAACAGAGATGGCTTGAGATGAGGGGGGGAAAAAAGGCATTTACAAGCAAGATTTTGCAGTTCAGATAACCATATCAGACACCATGATGGCTCCAGTCTACTTTTTAAACAAACAAAAAAATGCCTATAACCCCCTAAAAAACCTCCCACCTCCTTTCCAAATGGCACCGTGGTCAATGCTCTGCACAAAGACCTAAGTATCCAGTGCTCATGAATCACCTCACCAAGGTAAAAACTGGGACTCTGCAATTAACTTCATGCCATGCCATAAAGAATAACAAAATCATGGAATCATTATGGTTGGGTAAGACCTTTCAGACAATCGAGTCTAACCATAAACCCTACAACGCTATGCCTACTAAATCATGTCCCTAAGTGCCTCATGTACGCGTTTCTTGAACGCTGACTCTCCCCAGAGTCTCCTCTTCTATAGACTAAACAACCCCAGCTCTCTCAGCCGCTCCTCACAAGGTCTGTGCTCCAGCCCCTTCACCAGCTTCACTGCTTCTTTGGACACGCACTCCAGCACCTCCATGTCTTTCTTGGAGTGAGGGGCCCAAAACTGCAGTATTGGATGTGCGGCCTCACCAGTGTACATGGGTACGGTCACTTCCCTGATCCTGCTGCCTACACTATTCCTGATAAAAGCCAGGATGCCTTTGGTCTTCTTGGCCACCTGGGCTCACTGCTGGGGAGTGTGCATGTTCAGATGGATGTTTACCAAGACTCCCAGATCCTTTTCAGGCCTCAAGCCTGTAGCGCTGCATGGGCTTGTTGTGACCAGACCCAGCACCTGGCCTTCTTGAACCGCAACAGTTGGTCTCAGCCCATTGATCCAGCCTGTCCAGATCCCTCTGTAGAGCCTTCCTACCATCAGATTTACTCTTCCTCCAAGCTATATATATATATATTTTTTTTTAAAATATCTTCAGTATGTTTGGGAAAATTCCATTCAAAATTGATTGGTTGACTTAGAAGGCCAGATTCCACTTTCACTTGTTCATGTGGCTTGATAGCTGCTTTAATCCAACTGATGTTCAAAATTCTTTCTGGTTTTGCATGGACAAACTTTGCTGCTATTATGACAGTGTCTTGACATGGTCGTTTTGTTTTCATAACTTTTTATATATGTATAATATATATATAATATCTGATATATAATCAATGCATAATCAAATACAGAAGTTTGCTATTTATTACTAATACACAGTACTTATGGTTTTTAAGCATTTTAAAGGTTCTGATGTTGTTTAATGCTTCCCACTCCCTTCTGACAACACACACAAAAATTCCAAAATATCACAAAAGAAACACAGCAGACAGATGCAGCAGAATGGTAACACAGCTGCTGAAAATATAACTGCCTTGGCTTTGAGAAAGTTTCTCTTTCATTTTTTTTTTAAACTTTTCTCCAGTCCATACATTTGGTGACACTGACAGCCTATCTCTTTATGCATACAAACCACAGTAGAAGCAAGAAAATGTGAAAATTCCGCTCAAAAACCTGTGCCAATGTATCTTTACTCCAAGCTCCAGCATAATTGAGTCTTCTGCTTCATTCAGTTCTTGGCAATTGCAACTGCAGTTTTGTGATGTATCTACTAGCACTGGAAGTGAACCAAGATCAACAACTCATTTTACAGCAGCCACCATGCAGTAGTTACATGGTAAGTAGTTTCAATTAGTACCTGAATTCAATTAAACAGTTTAGAAGTAAAAGGCTGCTTACCATTACATGCTTCAAACTTAGCTATTTGTCCCGTCATTCTGCTGACAGATGAATGTTTTGTGGCATGTTCCATATGAAAATGCTATGATGCATCATTTTAAAAGCCCATAAAGAACACCGCTAAGACATTTTTACCAATACTATTACTCTGTTTGAAACATATGCTCCAGAAGAATTATTATTAGATTGATACAAAAAGGAAAAAAAAGTTAGAAAAGTGAAATGTATGTCATTCTCATGAACAAATAATCTGCTAAAATATTTTTAGTAAGATGCCTCTTGCTGGCTTACGTTACCACCTACTATTTCTGTCAACACACGCAATCAGCTTGACAAGTGAACCTGCACTCTAATAATATACTATGTAGCTTTTTTTTTTAAGCATACTGCTAAAAAGGGTACAGACTAAACTGAGAATGATTCTCTTCCAACATCAGTTTCAAGAGACAAATGTCTAGAATAGGCTTTTCTACTTTTTTTTCCATTTCTAAAAATGGACTTTCACACTACTCTAATATGGTTCCTTTAGCCACCAAACCATAGCAGCCTTTTCACATTATTCCACTTCTGACAGGATATAAAGCCAGGAGACCTTTTCAGACTTCTAGCCTCATGTATCCCATATTTTCATATGCTAACAGGGAATATAACCAATACTGTCAAATGGGCTATATGGTACACCAGCAAGAGTAAATTGTATGTTGCAAAACATCTTGCCATTGCTGCACTAACCCAATAAGATCACAAAAACTGGCATTCCAGCAACACCACTCAAAATAGGAAGGGAGACTAGTTATTATTAGCAGTGTTGCAAAGCCACTGCTCTTTGCCAGTCTCCTCATTTATTAACATGCAGAAGGCAATAGAGACGCCAAAAGGATGAGCAGGCTGGACTGAGATGTGAGGGCTTTTGCAGAGAACAGATGTTCTCACTGCAAATCTCATTCTTCCATTTCTATCAGTTGTACTGACATTCAAAAGAGCATTTAACAACATGGACAGATTTACACAACAGAACATCTCTCCATCTTATCTCCATTTAAGTTTCCATTACTGACATGGCAGTCTGCAATATATATTCACTGCAGAAGTAGATGACCAGGTTGCTGTGCAATTTGGCTAGCAAGAAACAGAACTACATTCTCCCCCCTCTGTAATCTGTCCACAAACTAGCAAATATAGCACAGAGCCAAGACAAACAGCAGCATCTGCAGTTGGCTAGTACAACAAAGTTTAGGCATTTTTAAGTAATTTTACATCTGGTAAAGACAGAAAAAGCCTGTTCAAAACAACAGGCCAACTAGGGTTCCAAACAAGTTATGTCAGATCTAACCTCCTTGAAAGACATGTGCCAAGCATCAATATTATTGGGGTAAATTTCTTTTCTGCTAAAAGGAGATCAAGTTGGGTGTCAGGCAGTGGGAAACATAGGTCATGAACAGCATTTCTCCTTCTATTTATTAGGTTGTTGCTATTAACAGAATCAGTCTATTATTATTGACAGCAGATAACTATTCACATAACACACTTGCTTATTTACTCACATATTCACTCAGTTACTGGGTTGCAGCAACAGCTGGTAGGGCAACATGAGACAAAGTAAGCTGGAAATGGTCTCACTAACATTCACTAAACTAGATTTGGAAATGGAATTTAAATCTAACAAGGTTACTCTGAAGATAAAAATTATTCCCATGGGGAACTAAAGACTACAGCTAGGTGCCCATCACCAGGCTGCATGGCACTGAACTAGATGAACTAGTAGAGACGGAGAGGGTGATCTTCCAAGTTACATTTAAGCTTCTCAATCATTAGCTGAGCAAAACAGAACAAAGAGGGTTATTTCCTTCGGTTACACCAAAACGCCACAGATAATGTTACAACTTTGCAAGGGAACTAAATTTCTTTAATTATTCACGTAGAAGGTATTTACACTTCTTGTCCTATATTGTTAATGATGGAAAAATATTAGATTTAGGAGAAAACTAAAAATTCCTCATCATTAACAGTAGAAGATTAAAATTTAGTAACAAGGAGCATTACAATATAATGAATTCCACCTCTAAATAGCTTCCAAAACCAGTTTCCAAGACTTATTCTTTAGAAGCTGTAATACTCCAATTTTACATTTACGGACAAATAGTAAACAATCAGAGTGGCTGGTCAGGGCTTCATATCTTTAAGGTCAAACAGCACAACTGATTTTGGATCATCCATACACTGCCATTAATGGGTTTATCCATAATAGGATTAATAGGATTGGGACAAGTACTTATATGTGTCTTAACTCATACTTCATCTCATATAGAAGAAACAAAGGTATATACACAGAGAAGGGGCTAAGGGGCTTACCCTCAACACTTTCTACTCATAATATACGTCAAATGGGGAAGAGAAGAAAAAAGAACAACAATAACTCAGGTTTGTTGCCCTGCTTTAAAAAAATAAAGTGATTTTTAAAGTGTTTCTCTCTCATAAAAACTGAGGTTTCTGTTTCCACCCTTTCCAGGTCTAGTAAAAAATATAGAAGCTGCACTCAATACAGCACAAGCACATAAAATTTCATGCTTTCATAAAGTAGAGTTAATGATCTACAGTTGGCAATTAACAGCTGTAAAATCTATTTCCTCTTTCTGAAAGGTACATATTTAGTCACATCCTACTACTGAAGTACTAAAATGTAATATTGCTTCAGAAATCAAGCAGTATGCAGCTTTTTTTTTCTGACTTATTTTAATATTTATAATCTAAAAAAAAGGAAAAGTTTTTTCTATATTGTTTACAGAAAGAAGAACCCAGAAGAAAAAACTGAAGTGACTTAAAGTCATTAAACATCAGCTCAGAACGCCCCACTCACTCACCCATAATACGAGGGCAATAAAATATTAACCCTTGGAATGAAGTCTCTTTACTAAATCTGTATAACTTCAATAAATAGTAATAGCATCTTTTTTTTTTTTCCTCTTTCCTCATAAGTTCTCTGTATTAAACAGTAGTTTATTAAGCAATAAATAAGTCCAAAGCTAAATTTGTGACACTAGTATAAGCCATTTTTGCCCTTTTGCATATCTCTTGCATAGAACATTTGAACAGAATCATGAAACCTGCAGTAATGCTAGGGACAGACCCCCTACATTCCCTAACTTAGCTGTCCCTTAGCATCTCTTGACTACTGGATCCCTCTTAGTTTTCAGATAAATACTTCATACAGTACTGTCTTTAATTAGCAGATAGAAGCTCTGTATTTAGGACATGGTTAAAACATCTAGGGTAGTTATAGCTTTAATACAAATAAAATCATTTTAGTTATTTACACATATACCTATACACACACACACTTTTAGAATTGTATATGAAGTATTTCCACCATGACTTCAAAATATACACTTAAACACAATTTTTATGTAAAAGTGTGAAGAATTTATATCGCCTTACCATAAAGAGCTTTTGCACTTGTTCTTGAACTCTGCTCCCTCTCTGCCTGAGCAAACGTTGGTGAGCCATAGCCACTGTAAGAAAACATTTCTGGTTAACTTGTCATTAGATGCAGTTGCTGCACAGAGGCAGGCACTGAAAAAAAACCTCTGCCATTAAGCAGGTATACATACACCTACAATATTACTAACATGAGTAAAAAATACTTGTTCCACGTCACGGTATGATGAGGCATGTTTGCTTAGACTTAGGCCCTCCTGAGGAACTCTGTTACTTTAACAGAGCACCAGGCACAACAGGGGTGTGGAATGCAAGAAAAATGCTACCACAATATTAATCATCAAAATCATTACTGAGTAATAACAAGGACTATGCCAAAGTCTCCAATTGTGGAAGGGCTGTGTCTTTTTCCTACATACACAAGCATCATTTGTTTTAAAAGTTTAAATTGCTTTCCATAAAAGACCCGAAAGAATTATTTTAAGGAATTCAGCTCAAGGGAATTCAGCTTCCTTCTAGCATAAAACCAAGAATAAGCCCCATCTTTAACATGTACACAAAAAAACCCTACTCAGTTCTAACCTTAAATATCTAAGGCATAAGATGACCGCTGTGAGTAATGTATTAAGTTATTGATACAGCAATATAGTTTTTGTGTGCTAGTTGATTCCATTCAGCAATATGACTCAGCACTTTAATAATGATCTCTAATAATTATAGCTCTACCTGAAACAAAACTATAAAGAACAAAATACAAATGTTTTCTCCTTAAAAGGAAAACCCAAGCAGAGGCTTACTTGATCTGAGGAGAATAACTTCCATATCCACCAGGAGGGGTGTTTGATATATGTCCATTCATTCTTATTGTCACTTACTGAAGGAAATGATCTAGGAAAAGAAACAGCAACATATGAAATTATGGCTTTAAAAAGAAAAAAATAAAAAAGAGGTTTATCACAGACGTAATACGAAACTAATTAGAAAACTGTAGTTCAGGTGGGAAAGAAATTGCATCCACAAGCCCAAACTGATATTTGCAATGTGGTGATGCCTTGAAGTCTTGTTATTTTTAATATATGTATTTATATATATCGATACATACCTATCCCAATATTATCAAATTGCCCCAATTGCAATTTGATAAATATTGTTTCAAATAACTTATAATTTAATTAAATCATTATTGTTGATCTTTAGGAACAGCTTAACAAAGAAGAACATACACTGCCCAAGTGAACAAGATGTTCGAAATGGCAATTTTAATGATACAGCATGCTTGATTTTAACCTCAATTAATTTAACCAAAATGAAACTTTTGAGAAGAAATGTCGACACATTTCTTCTAGAAAATATAACAGCTAAATCACTAGAAAAAATGTATTGTTACTAAACACAACCGTTAGCACAAAGGGAATCTTGTTTAGCTACCGTGGGAATACAACCTGTGTTGAAACAGTTAAAAGAAACCATTGTCACCTTGATAACACATTAAAAATGATCCTGGAAAATTACTTTCATAAGCCTATAAACCACAGCATCAACAACCAAAATTACCACAGATAAACAGTCTTTTATATACATATATATATATATGCATATATATACACACATACATATGCACAAATAATAACTTGAATAATTGTCTCTTTAACAGTCATGAAATAGAAGAGAGATTTAGGTCTACAAACAGCCAAAGTGCATTAGATTATGTCTTATACCTAGCAGAAGCTTCAGTTCCAAAGTAACTACAACCTCCCTTGTCATACTAAAACCATCTCAAAAATCAGCATATTCTGTGAATCTCTTAACTGTCTTACTTAACCGTTCTCTTCCTCTTGCTTTACAAAGACGCAGGAGGTGACTGTGCTTTTTTTTTTTTTTTTAATTTTAATCTATGTCCATTTTACTCATTTCCTCTTTTACACAAAAACACAATCACAATCGAATTCTGTTCTCATCTCTAAAGTTTCTGGTCATTTTAAGAGATATACAAGCTAGCTTTGGTCTTCTGCACTGAGTATGGAGTCACTTTTATACCTTTCTCAGGAATTTATGACATCTCCTACCTGAGATGAGACAAGCAAAGCTAACTAGAACTGAGCTGTATTGATTACATGCCAGATGTAATCATGAGGAAGAGTGCTATGTTCCTGTAGTGAACCTGTATTTTATAATTTCATTTAGACTTTCTCCCACCCCTCCACTCCTTTTTAGAATTCTGACTGTTCCTTGCAGAAGGCTGACATACCTGAATTTGCTTCCATTTCTCCTGCACACCTCCAAGAATATATCACAGACCCAACTTTGGAGCGTGTTTGACTCCTCTAAGCCACTTTTTATACAGCACTGTTCTTGGCAGTGGTCTACAAAAAAAAAAAATCTTGGTCTGTGTTAAGTGCTGCTTAATTCACTTGCATTTACAACCTTTGGGAAGCATCCTGAAGTGGTCCCATGACTTGAATGAACAAATGCGTTTGTTTTCTCAGCAGAATTTGCCAGGTCACTGTGCACTCCCTCTTCCATTTCGGCAAACACGTGGATCAGAACCACACTGGCTGCTATTAACCTCTTCAGTATTTCATATTGGCTCTCAATTCCTACTATCTGCAACCATTGTTTTTGCCATACTACTTAACCATTTGTCTGGTAATTTAGATTTCCTAAGATGGATCAGATTAAAAAAAACTTAACCAACTTATGCCTATTTCTCTCAGTATCTCCCATTTTATATATTTTTCCACACATACTGTTATTACAATATCATCTATTCAACAATTCCAATGGTCAGAGACTTTCATCATATCGTTAGGTGTTTTCTTTTTCCATAATCATATTTGTTACAAATTCGTCAATTATAAGCTTAAAAACTCGATCTGGAAAAAAATCCTGGATTTTTAGATTCACGATGATTTTATACCTCTGATATTTTGATTATTAATCTGACATACAGTTGGTTTGTTATTTGCACTCTACTTAATTTTATGAAAGTAGTGAAATAGATATTTTATGTGGAAGCAATGTAATATTTTAGAACTGAAAACTTAAGTCTTTGACTTTAGTATAACAGATTGAGTGCAATGCAATAACATTGAATTTATACAGCAGATTTTTCTTCCTTTAATGGGAAAAAAAACTTTGCTAAATAGTTGTCGACTGTACAGCATAACACCATTTACACTTTACAACAAAAGGTTTAAAATTCCACTTAGAATCAAGAGATAGGAAAAAATTTGAAGTCAGAAATATTGTGGTTTTTAGAGATAAAAAAACTTGTTTTCAACTTGCTCTCATCTGAACAAGTGCAAAAAAAGTTGTAGTTTTTTTGCAAACCCTCACCCACATTCTATTTGACAACTTGACGTTAAGCCAACAATATTTACTCTCCTGTATGTAACTTTCCATTACTTCAAAAATTACATCCTTTAGAAATCCTGAGACAACTACTTGTATATCACCATCATAAGAGCCTACAGAATTCTCCTCACCTCTTGCTTTGAGAAAGTTCCTCAATGTGTACAAAACCAAGCCCCTTGCAGCCATTATTTACAAAAGATACTTAAAAACAAAAAAATCAAAAATCAAAAAGTTATTTTTAATACTCCCCCAAAGCAATTGGGTAATTACTCTTCAGCTGAATTTCAGCTTTTTCAGCCTAAACATTTTTGAAGAACCGTTTCCAGAAACACTGAAGGTTTTTTTTACCGAGTATATACTGGACAGCAGGGAAAAAACATAACAGGATACCCATATGTTTAGCACTTAAGATTATAATTTATTTGTTCAGTTTTTGTTGCTGTGTTTTGCATCTCAAATGCTTTTTATTCTCCTATACCTCGCCCTGTAGCAAACATCAGCCCATGTGTGCTGCTAAACTATTCTGATTCAAGAGTCTATTAATAAACTTAACTTCCTCTTTAATCTTCCCTTTCACCTTAGCACAGCAATTCACAATAAAGTAAGCTGGTTGTCAGGGACAAAGATAAACATCCTTCGGAGTTAACTGTATCAGCCCTCTAAGTCAACCACAGTTTACCTCTGAATACACGCAAGAAGGGTCAGGTCTTCCTTGGAAATTTAAATGAAGTGCAGCCTACACAGAAGAACAAATATTTAAAAATAAGGGAACTAAATAAGGATTGTAGTTAAAATAGGAAATTCCTTAAAAAAAAAAAAAAAGTAAATATTTAATCCTTTCCCAGCATTTCTGCACCCCAAAAGCATCAGAGACGGCAAGCGGGAACGCACCCATGGCTTCTCTGCTGCCATCAGCTTTATCCTTAATTTATTGGTAGCAAGCAGCAATATAAAAGGCAAAGGACAGCTTTCACAAGAGATTTCTGAAAAAGACATATTGCGTGGATTTTTTTTTTTTTTTTACTAGTTGACAGTTACAGATGGTATAATCCCAAATATGGATGGCAGTACAACTATACTTATTGAAAATATTCATAGAAATATGCCCATATGCTAGCGTGCTTGGAGTCTTTTCCACCTTATAGCAGAGTGCCTAATGGATGCAGTACAATGTGTGCGACAACAAACTGAGGATTAGACACCTCAAATGTGCTGCCATTCAACTGGCTATATGGATATTTGATTATAAATTTAAAGGTAAAATCCTACTTTTTTTCTCAAATCCTTTTCAAAGGCAGGCAGAGTTTTCTAATTAGAGAAAATAAGAGATTCCAGAGATTTCCATTCTTTTGTACTAATCCTGAATCAGTCCTAGCCAACATAACACAATATCATACAAAGAAGAAAAGAAATGCAGCTTAGTGGCGTGAGTATTTCAGAAGTGATACTGTGGGAGGGAGGAAGAAGGGGAAGGGTTAAGAAGAGGAGGCTATGGGGACGGAAAAGGAAAGCCAATAATGGCTGGAACAATAATTATCTACGGATTAAGAAAATGTTATTAGTAGCAAGTCATTGTTATCACATGCCCCCAAAAAGCACAAGAATTCTTCCCCAGCTAGACAGAAAGCACAGGCTGTAATTCCAGCCTAAATAAAAACAAGGACACTACTGAAAGGTAGTGCTTAATTTGTAGCACATTTGACGTAGTATCAGTGGCAGAAAAGGACACTTTTCCTCCATCCCTTCCTTTCTAAAAAATATCTATGGAGCAACAACAACAACATATTCATATTACAATGCAACTCACTGTTGTTGAATCCTCGTGGATTCAAGAAAAGTGTCTTGTATCACTACTCCTCAGTATTTGGGGGGGAAAAAAAAATTGTAACTTTTTTTTGCTCCTCCTCTCATACCTCTCACCTTGTTCACTCAAATACCTTCCCTCAAGTCCATGCAACTCTCTCATGGTGAATTTTTCCTTAGTTAGTACTTTTAACACCCCTGCTAAGCCACACCTCTAATTTCTTTAGTTATTCCTTATGATACTCCATTTTTTTCTCCATATTTTCTTGGTTTTGTTGTTCTGACCCAACATTCTCTTATTTTTATCACCACTCCACATGACCTGACACAGCCCAGACCATTTTTCCATTCCCCTGCTCTTGGCAATTCAGCTCGAATCTTTTGCTGTATTTATTTAAATGCATCACTAAATGCATCACTCAGGGAGGCATTGGGGGGGAGCTGAAAGGCTGTCTAGCTTGCAAAGAGGAGGAAAAATTGTAGAGTAAGAGGGTGCCCGTCTCCTATCTGCCTCCAGACAGCCCTTTAATTGTGCCATTGTACAGCCATGGTGTTTTATGTCTTCTAATAAATTGCTTTTAGTACTAACAACCAGTAGTTTAAGTTACACACTGTTATTCAGCATTGTGCCTAAAGTTGAATATCATAACATTATATAAAGTTAAATAATAAAGTAAAATAAATATTTTAAGTTCTTTTTTTTAAAAAAAAAGCCACTAGCAATAATTCAC